TTAAATTTATTTATTTTTGTCAGTACTGGAGATTGAACCCAGGACCTTTTGCACTGAGCTATATCCCCAGCTCTTTTAACAGGGTCTCATTAAATTGCCCAGTCTGGGTTTAAATTTGCCATCCTCCTGCCTCAGCCTCCCAGAGTGCTGTGATCACAGGCATGTGCCTCATAGCCAGCTTACATTCTTTTTAAAAACATTATGCACTTTAGACCTGAGGGCCAGGAAGTCTTTTCATCACCTTGTGTGATCTGCCATTTAGAGCAGCCCTCCTCTGGCAGCACCCCTGGAGAGTGGGTAGCTTACCTCCTCTTGAATATGCTCAGAGATTCATGGTTTTCAAGACACCCTGTTTCAGTTTTGGGTGGCGATATAGCATCACATGGAAGTTTTTCACTCTATCCCACTAAGACTATGTTGTAGTTATACAATCTAGGCAAAAATGGGTCTTAAAAGATGACAAATTAAAAAATGTATTTGATTATGATATCTCTTGTGTGCACCCCTACTGAGGGGTATCCCTGACACCACAGCATGGGACATCCTGGGGACTTCTCTAACTCACGTGCTTGCAACCTGTAATTGTTGGAGAGTGAACATCTAAGCCCTGAGTCACAGAAGATGGGCACGATGGTTAAACGCTTCTCCAGGGGACTCGACTGTTGTGCTCCAGAGTGGCTGCCTCTGGGACTCATCCTCATGCTGGCTTCTCCCCATCCTCTTTTCACTCCTCCTGCTCTGTTAGATCACTGCTAAATAACCTGTGCACAGACCTTGGTTTCAGAATCCACTTCTAGACGGATTCAGGCTAAGATAGTGTCAATAAAAAACATCTAAAACTCAAATGGGTAGGGTGTTCACTGTGAATCAACCCAAATCCCACAGTCCAGCTGAACAGCAGGCTAAAGCAAGATCAGTTCATAATTATCATTTTGGAGTGCACTGTCTTTTCTGCCTGTGGAATATATCTTCCTCTTCCTACCCTGTTGCTCTTTCTTCTGGCTCTCTTCGTCTATTCATTCCCACAAATCTATTCTGCTGACAGTTCATCTGCCTTCTTTCTTTGCTTTGTTTTTTTCTCTGGTCTTTCATCTCTTTTCACTTCATTCTACTTCTGTCTCCTTTGCACTTTTGCTCTTTTTTACCCCGATTCTTCTTATCTCCTCCCCCATACTTTTTTTTTTTTTTTTTTTTTTACTGGAAGCAAAGCTAGGAGTCAGTCTAGCTTGCTGGACCCTTGAGTCCTGTGACCTCACTTTCCTTGAGATCATTCACAAACAGGGGAGAGAAAGGTGGGATTAAATCATGTCTCCATCAGACTGAGGATTCTAGAGGCTTTGCTGAATATTGATATTGACCCTGTATGAGTCACTTTCTGATCACTGAGACAAAATACCTGATACCCAAGCCTTAAAGGACGACAGGTTTATTTTAGCTCATGGTTTCAAAGGGTCTGGTCTATGGTTGGTTGACTCCAAGGCAGAAATGGCATGGTATAAGGGGATGGCAGAGGAAAGATGCTCTACCCATGGCATCCAGGAAGCACAGAGAGAAGGGAGGAGCTGGGAACAGGAATATACCCTTCCAGGTCACACCCCACCTCCAACAGTACATTTAGCTATGGAATCATCAATGGATTAATCCACTGATGAGCAGAGCATCCCTATGATCCAATCACCTTCCAAAAGCCTCAGCTCTGAATCTATGAGATTTTGGGGGACATTGTAGATGGAAACCACAACAGATCCATAATAAAGGTCTCATGAGTATAGAATTGGCCAGTGAAGTATATGCATAAGAGATGATGGGGATTTGACTTCCTTAATATGAAGTGTGTTTGAAAAATACAATTAATGTTTACATTTTAAAAAATTTATTATAGTAAAAGGCACATTTCCATTAATGCTCCTTAAAATAACTCCCTTACTTCAAGCACTTGTCCCATCATTCTTGCCATTTTCTTTTTTTTGGGGGGGGGTTTTTTGGTTTTTCTCTGGTACCGGGAACTGAACTCACGACCTTGCGCTTGCTAGGCAGGCGCTTTGCCGCTGAGCTAAATCCCCAGCCCTATTTCTTGCCATTTTCTGAAGCAGTTTTGGAAGTCCTCTTCTCTGGGTATTTTTAGTTGTACTGTCATGGCTGCCTCAGTGTCTTAAATCAATTCAAATTATTTACTTTTCATGGACACTTTGACTTTGGAGGAAATGAGAAGTTGCCCGGTGCCAGACTAGTGAATAAGGTGGGTGAGGACACACTGTAATGTTTTTACAGCCCGCCTTTGTATTGAACAGCACTCAGTAGCATTCACTAAATTTTTGATCACACTTCCTAAAGACACACATGAAAGAGGACTTCTAGAACTACTTCAGAAAGTGCAAGAATGATAGCATAAATGTTTGAAGCAAGGGGAAGTATTTGAGGGAGATTAACAGAAATGTGTCTTTTACTGTTTTATACATATATATTTATATATAAATTTAAACATTCATGGTTTATTTTGGTCACATCTCTGGTCCTTCATAGTCAAAAGCACAGAGTGGGTTCTCTGAGCTGGTTCTGGGTATGCGAATCCCTTCATCCACTCTTCTCTCTCTGATCTCTACTCTTTTGCTGGGTCTTAAAAAAATTACTCATCCGCAAGAGTGGAAAGCCAGAAACTGGAGAGGTGCTAGGAGACCTGTGAGGAAATCTCAGGTCCTTGTTTGGTCTCAGGATGCAAAGCCAAGCCAGATATTCCCTGGAGGTGGCTTAGTTGCCTCTCTGTTAAGCCACCCAAATGTGTACTTATTTACATTTCAAAAGCACTTTATTACCAAAATGAATGAAAGGAGAATGACATTTAAATTAAATAAATTACACAAATATCTCAAGAAACAAGGTTCCCAGTCCTCCCTGGGAATCATATCATCACAGGTCAGTATTAGTAAGAACATCCAAAAGTATTGAAATTCTGGATTATTTTGTTACCTTGCCCCCTCCCTCCCTACCTCAGTCATGTTCAGAAAAGTGGTTTGTGTGACATTTGTGTTCTTTCCAAAATATCTCAACAGTGAAGTTTTCTTCAATGTTTCCCTTTGCCCCAGGTGGGAGCAGTGGGAGTGTTTATTGTCCTGGATAGGTCATGGGTCCTTCCTGGAGCCCCGACTCCGGGCCACTGTGAGTCAGTGACCTCCTTCAGTTCTGGGGCTGGCCTGGGCATTTATAATGGTAACTTCTTCAAGTCCCCATGGGATCCAGGCACTTGTTCCAAAGGAAGACTGTGACTTAGGCTGTCCTGAGGCTCTGTGACCTTCTTCCACCTCCTGGGCCTGAGCTGGACTTTGAAGGAGGTGGAGTAGGGGCGGGTGGGTTGTCATTGGCTGAGGTTCTTGTCCTCCTGGAATTTGGCACTTCAAGTGCTGGGCACGGTGAATCCCAGATAACATTGTCTTCCGCCTTCCAAGTTTTGAGTTCCATTGGCAGCCAGATGGCATAATGAACTCACTGAGAAGCAGTGCCTCTGGGCCAAGAATTTGTGGGCGCTGGGCCAGCACCCTCTCCTTTAACTCTAGGAAGACTTGCTAGCGACCAGCTCACTGAACATCCATACAACGCAGGTCAGGCTGAAGTTAGGGACTGGGACCTTTTCCCAGGCTAGGCCAGCCCAACCTGTTGGGACAGGGAACTTGGGAGAAACAGTGAGGAGAGGCCAGAAGATTTTCTGTGCACTCTCATGGAGTTTTTACCAAGCACTTGCACATGGAACCTATTTATTTTCAAGTCAACAGTGGAGTTCCTCTATATAGCTATACAGAGTTTCCTCTAGATGTCCCTCCCTAGATAGATAGAGAACTGAACCTCTACTTTTATCTTTCCTAGAGGAAGATGCACTCAGGTCCTGAGGTTAAGGACAGCCTGTGGAGAAAGACCCATCTGGACTTGCCCTTGCCACCTCTGAGGCCCTCTAAGGGGTGCAGCTGATCCTGTAAGGCCTCCCTCACCTGCGGGAGGGTGCCCTTATGATTCCAGTCTCCAGGCTGATAAAGGAGAGTTAAATGATTGGCTCTTTGCCAAGTGAAGAAGATATTTTCCAGATAGGCCTTGAGGTCAGAGAACAGTTAAGACCCAGGTCCTCTCAGTTTGGCCTGGGTTGGCACTAGCACTGCCCCTTCTACATCTCTGGTACAAAGAGGGATTCCCAAAAGCCTTTGTGCAGAATCACTAGTATCTGCTGCTAGGTTGCCAGAAGATTCTGCCAGCTGCCTGCCCCCCTTTCTGGGGCTCCTACTCAGCCTCAAGTGGAAGGGAGCAGCCTCTTGGGGGAAACAAATGGCGCTTCAGGAGGCCGAGGCGGCCCCTCGGTGGGTCATCGCTGGGGAGGCGGCTTTGGTGGTTGTGAGGGGCTGGCCACTGCCTTGGCTGGAGTTTGGAGTGCTGAAGCGCCAGTGGCCATCTTGGGAGCCTTTGGAAGAGGAAGGGACGTGGTCACTGAGACAGAAACTCCTAGGTTGGGGAGATCACGTGCCCCCTGGTACAGAGCTGCCAGCCATGGAGTTGGGGCATCTGGAGGGGACAAGCCTTGGTCTTCTAACTAAGTTTATCTCTGTGTCCTGTGACAGCAGGACATCCTCTGTCACCAACCCGTGCAGGCCCCAGGACCCTCGTGAAGCTCGTACACCAGGTCAGCGCAGTTGTCCTTGTCCTGTCCTTGGCTCACTCTCAAAGTCACAGCATCCAGGGGCTGCCGTGGGCAGGCATGGGTGGGCGGCACGGAATGGGCCGAGGCTCGTGCACTGCTGGTGGGGGCTGAGGTTGGGGGAGGTGAGTTCATCAGACTCTCATCCCAGCAGGGGTGAGCTGAGGCGAAGGAGGAGGGGAGAGCGGAGCCAGGCTCCTGCTGGCCACACTCTCCTCCCCTGTCACTCCCTGCGACCCTGGGATTTTCCTCCATGGAAGTCCCTGGCGGCAGGTGCTCTGGAGGCAGCGTGGGAGCAGCCGGGCCTCACAGGGCGGTCAGGGTCTCTGTGTGGAACATGCTTCCGAACATCTCCTGCATGGGCCACAGGAAGGAAGGGAGAGAGGGAGGGAAGGTGTTAGACCTATGGGGGCCAAAGGGACCGCAACCAAGAGGTGACTCTGGGACCCTGGCCAGAGTGAGGTATTGTACGTGTGTGTGTACGTGTGTACACGAAGAGGGGAGGCAAGGCCAGCCAAGGAGGGGAACTGGTGCCGTGATGATGGGCGAAAGTGCTCGGGTCCACTTGTGTGTGACCTCTGGTGTCTTGTGCGACCTTTTACGTGTCGCATGTCCTTCCCCAGTGTTTCAGCTTCTCCCTGTCTATTAAGTGAAAGGAGGATTGAGACTAGCAGCTGAGAATTTTCTCACTCTGATGAGCAAGGCTTTCAGCACTCTCCAGACTTTTTGTGGGAATGTGTTAGAGATTCCAAGGAGACACAGAAATTATTCCACCAGCTCTCCATGGTTCTGGCTCTATTTTCTACTGTCTCCATCTGCCGCGGGCACTCAGAGATGTCTTCACAGTTCTATGGAACTCAAACTCCAAAAGAATAGGAAGTAGCCCGGAGATAGGTGTTAGTTTTAATAGACTCAGAGCCAGATTTTGCTAGACTTTGTCACCTGTTTCTTTTTTAAATTCAGGAGGTTGTAGGGGGGTAAGTTCCATGGGCCTTATGGGGACACCGGTGCTTCATATCTGCATAGCCTTTAGTTCTTAAGGGTTGTCCACTTGCAAAAATAATAATGTACCCTAGAATTGCAATAATACCTACCCCTAGAATCATGGGACTCTACCAGAATAGAGTTCCCAAGGGCTGCGGTGCGGCATGCAACTGCATCGGCTGAGGAACAGTCACTCTATAAATACTTGTTGAATGAATGCAAGAACACGTGATTCCTCTGCCCTGTTAATCTTGCAAGGGACAAGCATTACCCGTATCTCCCTGATTTTACAGACAGCAACTACAGGGCCCAAGTAGTGTTCTGTGGCTCTCCCAAAACCACAGCGTTAAGAAGAGCTGTGGCTCCCGAGGATTTGGTGCTGACTGTCCCTTCCCCAGGCTGCCTTTCAGGCACTGGGGGAGAATGTTGATCTGCTGTTCAGAGAGATGAGGATGCAACTGCAAGATGCGGCCTGCAAGAGTCCTGCCCGTGGCCAAGTGTGAGGGAGTGCAGTGAGCCTCCATCCTGGAGGGGCCCCCTTCCTTGCCCTCCCTCAGCCCTGTCTCTCTGCTCACCTGTTCTAGGTCCCAGTAGCCTGGGCTCTCCTCCTCTGAGTCGCACAGGGAAAGCTCCGTGTCCCCTGGGGCCTGGATGGAGGGAAGCAGGTGCAGATGAGTTCAGTGACAGCACCGTGTGGCTGCAGAAAGGACACGTGGCAGGCTCCGGAGGGTGCCGTGCCGCCTGCATAACTCGTCCTCTTGCCTTTCCCTCACCTGCCTCACCAAATAGAACCACAGGCAGCGGTGCGCCAGGCTGGCCCTTGCTAGCTGGGTGGGGAGCAGCCTAGCTTTCAAGGGTGACTGACCAGTGCCTGACTGTGGGCAGTTTCTTCCCTCTCTCTGCAAATCTGCAAAAGTAGGACCATCAGATTCACTTTGCTGGCTTTTTCCTTGATGTGTCATCGAAAAGGAGGTTGTGTGCATGTGTGTGCACAGGTGTGTAATTTATATACACAGGAGTATAGTCTATAACAGGTAAATATGGACTACATCTAGTGAAAATTACTTATAAAAATATAAATAATACATTATATACAGAAAAACCATAACAACTGGACATTAGCCAGGCATGGTAGCTCACGCCTGTAATCCCAGCACTTGGGAGTTTGAGGCAGGAGGATCACTGCAAGTTCAAGACCAACCTGGACTACAAAGTGAGCTCAAGCCCAACCTGAACTGCATAGCAAGACCCTGTCTCAAAGAAACAAAAAACAAAACACAAAAAACAAACAAAAAGACCAAAAAAAAAAAAAAAACAAAAAAAAAAAAAAAAAAAAAAACCCAAAACAAAAAAACCCACAACTGGGCATTATTGGGGAGATAAGAATAGTGAGGGTTCATGAGAATCTCCCTGTTTCGTCTGTGGACCTGGTTCCCAAGGTAGGGGAGCCAGTCCCTCCCTACCCCTCAACCTGAGTTTCCCTCTAAGTGCGGAAGGCAGGAGCCAAGGTGGCCCTGAGTTGTCCTGGGCACTCTTTCAGCACTGGGAATAGATAGCGTCACCTTCATCAGTCTCTTAGGGCAAACAGCAAATCAGAGCAAATGTTGCTCTTGGGCCAGAGCAGTCTCCTATGGCCTGCAGAGGGCAGGGGAGGATGGAAACATGGGGCTTAAGGAGTTTTGGGAGGTGAGGGAGGGGTGACCTGGGTGGGGACCTGTGGGTGTGGGGGACAGGAGGACTGGGGCAAAGACCTCAGTGGAGTGGGCTTTTTCTGACTCCTCAGCTTTCCAGAGTCCTAGACATTATTATTGGTACCTCATTTGCATATCACTTACTGAGCTAGTGAATTAAATACAAAGAAGCTCAGACAAAGCTTGGACCCAGCCTTGCCATCCATCACCAGCATGAACTCCCCAAGCCCTGCTGAATTGAAACTGAAAGGCTCACTCCCTTCCTCTCCCAAAGGCCCCCCTCTCTCTCACATCTATCTATCTATCTATCTATCTATCTATCTATCTATCTATCTATCTATCTATCATATATCTATTTTTGGGTGGGTGGGGTACTGAAACTCGAACTCAGGACCTTGTGCTTGCCTGGCAGGTGCTGTGCTGCTGATGCTGAAGACCTTTGACCACTGCATCTATCTATTTTTGAGACAGGGTTTGCTATGTAGTTCATGCTGGCCTTGAACTTACTATATGCCCAGACTGGCCTTGCACTCCCAGAAATTTTCTGCCTCAGCCTCCCAAGGGCTGGGATTATAGGTGGGGACCACTATAAATGGCCAGGCCTTTTTAGAAAGAGGGCAGGAGGCTATGGGTGAGCAAGGCCAGATGCAGGACATCATATGCTAGCCTTTGGGTGTTGGTTCAATCATGAAGTTAATAGTAATGAAGGGTTTAAAAAAAATAATATATACATAACTTTCAAGTGACATAAAATATATAATTATTATTTAATCCTAAAAAAAACCAAGAAACTGCTGTAAGGTAGGGAATGGAGCTGATGATACCTGTTCTACAGATTAGGAAACTGAGATTCAGAAAAGTATGCTGGCAGAACTGGGGTCAGAACCCAAATCTTCTCCTAATGCCCCTTGGTCGGGCTATGGCAGTGCTCTAGAGCCCAGGGTTTGCTATGGACGAGGATCTTACCCCTTGGGAGCTCTGTCCTGGGACTGCATGTCTGGCATTTTCCTGGGCAAAGAGCACCGCATCATGTATGCTGGGGAAGACGTGGTCGCGCTGTACACAACCGTCCTCAAAGACACCTCCGTGGCTGATGTCATTGTACACCTGGGCTGGAAGGACACAAGATCAGGTTCAGAAAGAAAACGGCCAATGCAGGCTGGTGTTAGGGAGCGGTGAGGGGAGCAGCGAGGCAGAGCAGGGAGAAAGGAAACAGAGAGGTCTGAGTTGTGTCCCAGGGCCCTGATGGTGGCGCTAGAACTGCAATATCAGTCCTGGACAGCAGAGGGCAACATGAGCTTGAGGATGCTGAACTTTCAACCCGGGGCAGAAGGAAGTAGTTTGATTTAGGGAGTTGGTACTCCGCAGTGATTCCGGAGGGAAAGGCTAACGCCTCCGCAAGGAGTCTGCTGCCCATTTTATCTCCTAAGGCCCATGCTTCCTCCTGATTATGTGGCTCTTTCCTGTGACTCCTGGTGCGTGGCAGATCCCTTACTCTTATCAAATTCTAAAGTAATTTCCCGAGGGAGTGACCAGGGAGGACGGAAGGGATCCACTGATTCTAATTCCATAGCACATCAAGCAGGTCATGACCACTGGGAGTTTTGTATCTGAGTGGGGTCTCTGCAGAGTTGGGGCGTGCAGCTCTACTGGACAGCCCTAGCCCTCTGCAGCACACTGTGTGTGTGTGTGTGTGTGTGTGTGTGCGCGTGTGTGCACGTGTGTGCGCGCGTGCATGCTTTTCAGGTGTGCTTGTGTGCTGTGTGCACTTGCTGCGTTTCCACACCCTGCACTGGGCCTGTGTGCTAATGCTGAGAATGTCCACTGCTCTGTGGCCCTGTGCATATAAGACTGCATGTCTGTGTCCCCAGGGTGGTGGGGGTGTGTGTGTGCTCTGTGTTTACAGAGATTCACAGGCCCGACAGGAAAAGGGTCCCCAGTTTCATGTAGCCAACCCTCCACAGGTGGACAGATAAAGTGGCTTGGCTCAGGATACATAGCAAGTTAGTAATGGGGCAGATGACAACCCTGGCTGTCCTTCCTCAGCTCCATGGCCCCTAACTCTGTTGAGACCCCTAGGTGTTTATACAATCTTCCCCATGCCCCTCTTTCTCTGTCTTCATCTTTTAGCCCTGGGGGTTGAATCCAGTGTCTTTGCACTGAGTTACACCCCACTTGCTCCTTTTATTGTTTATTTTGAGACAGGGTCTCACTAAGTTGCTAAGTTACCCAGCTTGAGCTCAAATTTAGATCCTCCTGCCTCAGCTTCCCAGAGTGCTGGGATTACATGGGTGCACCACCTCACCTGGCTCTGGCCCATCTCTTTGGACTTGGATCCGAAGTTCTTACAACTAAGCAGCAATTTGGAGAAGTATTAGGGTCCTTTCATCTCTCATTCAGTGCCCCCCCCCCCCAACCTGTTCCACCAAACCTCCCTCCCCAGCCTTTCAGGTCTTACCGTGGATGTTTACCAAGAAGACCTTGACTCCGATCTTCCCGTAGGTGGAGCTCAGCTAGAGGTGTTGGAGGGCATTGGGGGTGGGGAACAAAAGGAAAGGAATGTTCTGAGTGGGTCTCAAAAGGGACTCCCAAAATGTACTTCACAGAGGAAGCCAAACAAGTAAGCAACCCTGAGAGGCCAGGCTGCCAAAGACAAAAATAGCAGCCGAACATAGCACTTCTCTCTGGAGTGTTGGCTAAAGGCACTTTTGGAAATTGGGACGGAAATGGGACTTCGCCAATGTGGCGGGCGCTTAAAGTCACCGTGGCCCATCTTACGGAACCAGATCTTTTCTTTCAGTAGCTTAGACTCCCAGCTCTATCTCTTTCCCAAGTTTATGGCTTCTGGCAGAAGCTGCAGGAAAAGATGGAAGCTCAGAGAGGCCAGGCCTTCAGCCAAGGCCCGAGCTCCAGAACCAGGCCGGGGAAGCAGGTGGAGGCTCAAGGCTAGGCATGGGGCCCTCTCTGCCCCCAGTGATGGCGACAGCACCTCCATTGGAGCCCCTGCCTTCAGAGGTATGTGCAGTCACAGCATCCCGAGGACACTGATTTCATTTCCCTTCTCTCCTGGGTTGGCCAGTGAGTGTGGGAAGAGCCACGTGGGCCAGTGGCCAGCAGGCCTCTGCAGAGGTCCTGTGCATGGGTTCCTGGTGGCCTGAGAGGGTGCTTGGCGTGGCTCTGCAGGGACTTACTGTCAAGGGCCTGCTCAGCAGAGAGCGTCCTGTCCTACTCACATCAAGAGGCTGGAGGTCTGGGCACCCCGGAACAGGAGCATGGGAGACGGAAGTGCGTATACCCTCATGTTAGGGCCTCACCTTGGCCAGGGCTTTGATGCCCATCAGGTCCACAAAGCTGACACCACTCATGTCCAGAACGAGGGTGTGGAAGGTGACAAAGGGCGGGACGCTGGCCAGAGTGTCACTGGGCTCTCTGGGGAGCTCACATGGGACAGCTGAGGAGGTGTCCGGGCTGAGAGTGACGTAGGATATACCGGTGCCATTGGCTAGCGTCTGGTTGTTGTTGGGGTCGGTCGGGGTGGTGTTCTCAAAGTCCTGCTGCAGCTCCTGCAGGGAGACCGTCTGGGGGTGGCAGTTGGGGAGGGGCAGAGTCAGGGACTGTGGAACTGAGTCGGACTTGGCTGTGGCTGAAGCACCGGTGGGAGGGTGCAGGTTGAGGTGTGATTCAGCTCGGAGGTGTGAACACAGCCCTGAAAAGCCCCCAGGAGAGCCCAAACGCCCTTCCTGTGGCACGGCCTGTGAGTTTGGTCTCCTATACCCCAGGGAGCAGACCCCAAAGGCTCCGCCCACTGTGCTTTGAGAGGAAATTCCCTTGGGGACAGCGGAGCACCCTTTTGCATTTGTCCACGTCTGACTGCTTCTCTCTACCTCCAACTTCCTGCCCAGCCTTGCTGCTCGGGATTGGCCAGCATCCCCGGAAGTTCACTGCTATGCCCTTTCTGGGCTTGTTAATAGGCCCCTGAGCAATGTCCTCCCTTAGCCAGAACATGAGAGGGCATCGGCTCCCTAGGGAGCTGACAGCCCCTCACCCAAGAAGATTGCCCAGCTGGAGACTTCCTGTCTTTTCCACAAAGGTTACTGAAGCTGGGGTGCAAGGGGCAAGATCAGAAAGCATGGCCTCTGTTCACCTTGGTTTTCATGAAGAGAGATTTCCTCTGCTGTGTGGGCATCGCCCTCTTCTCCTGCCTGCGGAGGTGTTTTTGCTTGGCACGTAGTACTTTCTGGGGGTCCATACCTGTCTGTGGGAGGAGAACCAACCCCAGTGTCCATCTCTGCCCTTTGTGGGCGTGGCCTGCTCTTAGCCCCAAGCCCCTTTCTGTTCCCACCTTCTGGCCACTCCCTCTGAAGCCTTTCTGGCCACCAAGCTTGAGCCTTACCTTGGCAATGACCTTTTGCCTGAAGATCTCTGAGTTGGCAAAGTAGAGAGGGGAACAGTAAGTGACGATCTTAATCCCCTCGATTTCCTGGACCTGTGACACGGAGACTGAGCTCAGGTTGCAGAAATGTCTCTACTGTTTTTGCTGGGCATGGTGACACACACCTGCAATCCCAGCACTCAGGAGGCTGAGGCAGGAGGATTGCAGTGAGTTTGAGGCCAGCCTGGGGTATATAGTGAGTTCAAGGCCAGCCTGAACAACATAGTGAGACCTTGTCTCAAAAACAAAACACAGACAACAACAACAAAATCTTTACTGTTTTTAAAGAAAACACTTCTTAGGGTGGGGGCAGTGCAAAAGGAGGTGACAAATGCCTGGGTTACCTACCCTACTGTACGTCTTGGGGTTCACATAGATGTCAGTGTCCATGACCCGGGCCAGCACATAGCCATTTCGACTAGATGGAGAGGGAAAGAAAATGGAGGATGCCAACGGCAGGGGGCCTGGAAAGACAGGGGTGGGGGCCAGGGAGGAGCCGCTCCCTGGGCTGGGTCTACCCTTCTGCACTGGAGCTGTCCTGGTAGCCTGTGGTTAGGGGTGTCACTAGCTAGGTGACGGGCAGGTCCTGGCTGTAACTCCCTGACTGCTTGGGGAAGGTGTGGTACACAAGGTGACACACTAAGTGGCCCTGAGGTCACCACTTCCTGATTCTAAATTCTCCACACTCAAGCTTAGCCAAGAGGCCGAGAAGCAATTCTAAATTCTCAAGAAGAGGAGAAAAGGCGTCTCCATTCTTCAGTGTCTTCCCTCCTGCTCCAGCCCAGCTCTCCAGTGCCCTTGGTTTCACTACCGAGTCCTTCTTAGAAGAGCACACGTCTGTCCTCTGCCTGGTGCTGTCCTGGGGTGGGTCTCTGCCTCTGCAGTGTGGGCAGTGCATCTGGAAGGACGTTGGGTCCTACTCATCTGCTTGGCCTCTCCTCTCTCTGCACTTCTAGACCTTCGCGTCTGTGCTGGCCTCCTCTAGAGGTCAGAATATGGGAAGCCGACAGCCCAGCCGTCCTGTCTGGGTCAGAGTCTCCCCAGGCCTGGCAGCACCTCCAGTGCCGGCCCATAAGGTAGAGGGAACGGTGTCCAAAGCATGGGGACTCTTAGCGGGCTGGCCTAATGACCCCACTATTGAGCTGGGGGGCAGTGAGGAGACCGTTACTTACAACTGAGTCTGGAAGACCACAACCAAGATGGAGAAGGCGACACCCACCGCTACACCGTAGGGCAGACTCAGGAAGAAGGAGGAGAGGAAGCTCACCACCCAGACGCACTGTGAGGAAAGAGATGTCAAGAGCAGGCTTGGGGAGAAAAACTGCCTCTCAGAAAGTCTTCTGGGGTTAAATAAGGTCACTGACTGCTAGCACCTTCTCAGACCTATCCTTTCCTTTATAGTGCATTTTTGCAATGATTTATGTTTTGTGGTTTGGTTATGCTTGCCTGTTTCCCTTAGACTGAGTGTGACTGCCCGATCTCTCCCTCTCTTCCCCCTCCGTCCTTTCTTTCTTCCCTCCCTCCCTACACTTCCCTTCCCTTTCCTTTCCTTCCTGCTCCCTCCCTCCTCCTTCTACCTCCCTCTCTTTTTCCTTGGTGGGAATTGAACCCAGGGGTTCACACATGCTAGGCAAGTGCTCTACACCTGTAGCCCCTTGCCTGTTTTAAAAAACTGAAACACCAGCCTGCATAGGGAGCAGCATGGGCATAATTAGGGCATGCGCCTTGAATCAGGTACACCGGGGTTCAGAGTTTGGTTCTCTCATTTGTTCCGTGAGCGGTGGTTTCCTAATGCACAAACTTATTTCATGAAAGAACTAAAGAGTCAGGGAGTGCAAGGGTTCAAGCCTTGTGATGGGCACCTGCGGGTGATCGCGACTGCGAGCTTCCTTTCTAGCAGCAAGCTGTGTGTGCCTTGAGGATCCTCGGCACCTGAACTGACAGCTGGGGAAGAGGCCTGATTGGGTGGGTTGCCCCCCATAGGCCTTTAGTGACCCCAAAATCCTTTAAGGGAAGTCGGTTGCCCAGAGTTCTGTAGGGAACTGTTGTGAAGGTCAAGTGAAAACACAAAACACTATGTAAATATAAGGTGCTATTGCCACAGCAAGGAGATGGCTGGGAAGTGTAAGAGCAGAGCCTGGGGCTGGGAACTGGGACTTGATGTTTCTTCCTGTCCCCATCCCAAGCTCACTGAGGGGTCCCCAGATAGACCACTCGCTTCTCTGGTTTTGAGGACTTACTTTCCTGTACCGCAGGAGCGAGCCTCCCCCTCCTGGGAGACAGGACAGCCCAGCAGTCTGGAATCTGAGACTAGGAGTTTGCATCCAGACTCCACTCGCTTCCTGTGTGGCCTTGGATGATTTACTTAACCACCCAGCTTTGATTTCATCATCTTTAAAGGAGGTTGTTAAATCCTCTCTCTAGTTATGGTGGGGCTTAAGTGGAGATAATGCAGTGTGGTCAGTACATAAAGCCTCTATTACCAGTGCTCAGTGGGAGATGGAGTTGGAGTATGTGAACAATCTTGCACTAAGTCATGCTTGCAGAATGTTTATGGCTGCATGATGCAGTCTCACTGTGATCTCACCTAATCCTCAGAACCAGGGTATGACACAGCCATGACTCTAACCCCTATGTACAGCTGCAGCAACAGAACCCTAGTGCAATCTTGAGTAAGACTTTGGTCCTTTGGCTTTCTCTACTAGACTTTCTTACAAAATGATTTCTTTTTGTTGTTTTGGAGCTAGAAACCACGAAAATAATAATAGAGAAGTTTTATTGAGCACAAATGCAAGTCAACATTGTCTCATTTCAAAGCCACCTTCAGGGTAGAGGTATAATACCCATCCCTCGGGGAGATTAAGGAACTTACTCTTGGGCACACAGCCAGTGAATGGCTGAGTTAGGATTTGAACCCAGGATGCCTCCTGCAAACCCTGGACTCCTAACCTCTAGACTATGCTAATAAGGGAGCCACAGAACAGAGGGCTCAGCCTTAGGCCAGTCTGTGGGGTTGGAGGAGGTGCAGAGACACAGATGGGTGCCTGGAGGCTGCCCAGTACCTACACAGTCCAGCTTGCTCTTCCTCCAGAGGTAGTAGGGGTCGGCGAGCTGCTTGAGGGAGTTCTTGAGGTTGACAGCTATCAGGGCTCCCAGCACAGCCTGGAGAAGCAGAGCATGGCTTGGTGTTGCCTCGAGTAGCCTCTTCATCTGCCCTTCCCTCACACACCTGACCCTGCAGCCTGGCAGGACAGAGCTGGAGCCCAGCAACACACCCCCAACAGAGTCCTCAAATCTCTCTGCTCAAGTCCTAGGATTTGTTCTGACCGTGTCTTTGTCCTTCCTCTCTCCCCCCATCCCTATGCAGCCCATGCATAAGGGCTCCTAGCTGGGAACTTACATGGTGCCTGTGGGTCAGACTCCAAGGCTAGAAGGCTGGAGCTTGAGACCAGCCCTGTACTGTGAACTGTCTCACTAACCTCAGTCACTTTTGCCTGTACAATGGGGAGAATCAAACCTGCCCTGTCTACCTTACAGGCTGGGGTTGAAACTGAGGGTGATAATGACATCACTTGGTCATTGTGAAGTGCTGCCCAATGCTTAGGGATGGTTGCTACTGAAGTCTCCCACTGTCTTCTGCTCTCTAGCTAGGTTCTTACCTTGGGGAGAGGGTACAGATAGGACCCCAGCACCAGCATGGTGATCATCACCACCAGAGACACGCACAGGCTTGACACCTGTTCAGAAAAAGAGTTGGAGCAGGGGAAGTCTGGCTCTTGGCTGGTTCCCGGTAGATGACTTTTGGGGCATGGAGATCAGGCAGGAAGAGGAAGAGTGGGAAGAGCTGGCCTGGACTACAGTGCCTCGCTTCTCAGGACAACTGTTAGCGCCCCTGCATGGCTCACCTGGGATCTTCCTCCAGCTGCATCCACAGCCAGAGTGACGGAGAGAGCACAGCAAATGACGTGGATTTTAAAGAAGGAGCCAAAGAAGTTGCTGCAGCCCAGGGCAATCATCTCCTGTGTGGAGGGGGGCTGGGTTGGCTGGGGAGCAGGGCCCAGATGTAGTCAGCCATGCAAGCTGGACCTTGGGGGTGATCTTGTGCTATAAATTCACACACTGCTAGTCAAGAGGAAGGCAGCCTCTTGGGGTGACAGACCCCACCCCTGCTGCCTCATCTCAGCTCAGAGCCCCAAGGTACCTCTTGCATGTCTTGTGTTGGTGCCCCTCAGCCCAGCCCCAAAGGGTGGCCGAGCTACCTGGTTAGAATCTACATCGTAGCCGTGCTTGCCAGCCAGGGTCCGGCCCATAGCCAGGTTGATGACGTAGCCCACGATGGCCAGGGAGAAGGCTGTGCCAATCATGTCCTTCCACTGTGAAACCACAGGCAACACTGGAGCGGGGAACCTGCCAAGGTGCCGGAAAGGAGGCAGGGCCCAGGGGTGTGAGAAGACAGAGGCAGCTGAATCCTTTATCGCCTTTAGGACCTCACAGGGCCCTGGTACAACCCATCCAGTCTCACAGGGAGCAGCCCCTGTGGGCAGGTACCACCGCTCCTCTTTCATCAAGGCTT